CATAATTAGATTGAACTGTTATTGTGACCTGTTTTTTATAACAATAAAAATAAAAAGAAAAGTAACTTCTCTAGTAGATCTATTCCTTGACATTTCGACCTATATTAAAGGTCTTCTTTAGAATGTTCTGACAAAAACTTAAGAATATAAAATAAATACAAAAACAATGTAAACTAAATATGGATACATAATGGGAAAACATTGAATTTAAATAATAATACACTTACTGTGCTAATATACAGGGGGTTCCGCATTTTTCCGTACACACTTGAGTAGTGTGTTGTACAAGTAAAACTAAGATTGAAATGTTACAATAACAAAAAATCGATCAATGTTTTGTTAAGAAATTATAACAAAAATATGAAGTGTGAAACTCGGTTGAGATTCTGGACATTAAAATAAGAAAACAAATTTACAATAAAATAAAATAAATCTTTTACAAGCATTCGATATCGTGAGTTTCTTTGCAATTTGCTGAACATAAACATGAACAATAGTTCAAAATTTGATGACAACAAAAAGTTATCATCGAAGAAAGAATATTTCAGCACCCAAGATAAATGATAGAAACTAAACTCTGATAAAGAAATGTTTAAGTTATCCATATAATTCTACGTTAAAAATATTTCTCCCTGCCTCAACTAGCAGTTGCTCTCTTTAAACAAAATTTTAGTAAATACGTTTGTTTAGTAAATAAAAAAGCATTACATTTCATACTTTTGTCATAACTTCTTAACGAAGCAATTATTAATTTTTTGTTATATAACACTTTAGTCTTATCTTTACTTGCAGAACACACTGCTCAACTGTGCACGGAAAAATGCCAAACACCCTGAATAAATGTTTTAAGATAGTTGACTATCAGTTTACATAAACATAACCTTGCTTTTTCCTGAATAAATTACTCTGCCGACAGATGATATTATATTTTAGATTAACAGATTAAAAAGGTACAATATTTAGGGTCGAAAACATTAAGAAAATTCAGTAAATGCACCAATCATTTTAAAAATGATGGCAACATACGTGTGCATAATATTTAAATATCAATGATTTTGTGTTACGTAGTATACATACCTTGTGATCCAAATAAAAAGTTACAAGCTGGTTCCTTGAAAACCAATGATACCGACTTCATGTTTTAATTTTTTTTTTTTAAATTAAATTAATCTATCAAAAATAAAAATAAATTAATCCATCAGGTCAATATTATCAAGTACAATAAATTCTTTTGTAGTGACTGTTATAAAAAGGGGTGCCTCCTAAATTTGTTTAAATGAAAGGTGATATTATTTTTCTGTTATTTAGATAACCTTTATCAAAGTGAATACCACTTATTAAAACCGTATTTTTTAATTTGGATAGTTCACTGGATCATTGTGTGTGTTTTTGAACAGTGTTGAAATAGCTTAAATATGAATTTTATGAATCCGTAGAATATTTTTTTTTCTCTTGCACTTTAAAATTTAATTTTAAAGTTATATTTATTTGTGTTATTTACTATAGATTACTATAGATTATTCGTATATGATGAATTCAATAAACATAGTTATGAATCGGGCTGTGCCTCTTTCTTTCGAGGAAATGATAAATGTGTTTATAACCGTCTTCAAATAAATACAAACGTTTAAATATATTGCTTCGCCGAGACGAAAAGTCGACAAGTGACAAAGGGAAGCGGCCTTGATTCGCGTTGCGCTAAACGTCGCGGATCGGCGAGCCGGGTGCAAAAATCGATAGAAGGCACGTATCACGGGTCACGGTTCTCAAAAGACCGAGAACTATCGGGAGTGTTTCGCGGCACGTGGCGGAGATGTTTGCACCCCGCCCAAGGAAAATCCAAAGGACGATCAGGGAAGCGTATATGCATAAGGGTAAGGCTCCCGATCGCCCGCGGTAGTCATACGAGGGTCGCTCAATAAATCCTTAGAAAATCCAAAACCTGGCCCTCGTAGCATCGAAAATGGTTTGTTTTTAGTAAGTATCGTGACTGGACATCTGTCAAAGTCTCAGTTATATCCACCACATTGTTTCATTTTTATTGTCGATTGAAGCAAGAAACTTCTTGTTCCATAAAAACAATGCACGGATGCACACCTGTGCAGTTTCAATGACCAAAATCATTGAATTAAAGTTAGAATTATTACAACATCCACCGTATTCACCGGATTTTGCCCCCAGTGATTTTTTTTTATTTCCAAACTTAAAAAAATGACTCGGCGAACAACGGTGCACGTCGACGAGGAGGTCACTACCTAAACAGACGTCTATTTTGAGGACCTTTCGAAATCTTACTTTTTAGATGGCTTAACAAAGTTGAAGAAATGCTTGGAAAAGTGTACAGAGTTAAAAGGAGATTATGTTAAAAAATAAAAAAAATCTACCGAAAATAATTTGTTTTTCTTTCTTTTTCTAAGGACTTATTGAACGACCCTCGTACTAAACAGCTACAGACTAGACAGCGAAATTATTATTCAGAGTAATCGAGCGTACTCTGACATCTTCAACAAGCCGAGTCTTGACCTCTCGTCGTAGTCTAAGTCCGCGATTCACAAATCGACACGACACAACATTTTTTGGGCTTTCGAGCCGAATCCAACCGATTGAGAGTCTCAGGTCTACATCTACGACAACGAGGGTCCAACCGATTGAGAGTCTGGGTTAGGTTCACGTCCTTGACTAGCAGAGCACCGAGTATCTGCTGTGGTCCATCGACGATAACTGAAAACATCGAGGAATCGTCAGAGCTAAGTTAGAAATTTTGACTCGTCACGATCAAATCGTTGTTGTGTTTCTTCGAAGAGATGGTTACTCAACCAGAAGACAAATTAAGAGTGTTCGTTGTGTCCAGAGTTCGTTTCCTCCTCAGCTTAGATCCCCTCCAACAGGTTCAGTTGGGGGTGTTTGCAGATTCGCCCGTGGAATCATAGCTTTATTGATTGGCCATAGACTTGGGAGAAGAGGACTCATTTTCCTGTCCCACTTCGGCAGAAAAAAGTCCTCCCTCACACCCGGCGGTGAAGGAAAGTCCCAGGCCACCCTGGCGCGGGTACCCGAAGATTTCCTCCCCAAGTCGAAGGCTGCGTTAATTTACTGAGGAAGAAACGGAACTCCGGATTACTAACGCGTCAAGAAGCCGCGTCTGTTTTGCAGCTGCTTTATGGCTATATTGTTCCGCGAGTCTACGTTTGGCTTCGACGACCGTACCAAGCCCTTCGCTTCAAAAGTGTTTAGATGGATATACACGAAATTCAAACGAAAACTCCACCAATTGCAAAATTGCAAGCTTCTCCACCACCTCAAATAGCTTCCACCAATCAGGAATCCTTCGACGTGTAATTTTAAGTAAAAATTATCATCGCACTCATTTTGTTCCGACACCATACCTCTAGCAACATAGAAAAAACGCGCCTTTAGATTACCAACTTACTGTCGACTTTACAGTGAGTATAAAAAGTATTCATACATTGATTAATTACAACTAAAATGCTGAATAATAATGTGTATTAAACAATATTTTATAAACAAACATGTTACATATATACTCCAAAGTCTGTAGAACAACAATATGAAATAAACAAAAGAAATACTTATATTGTTCATATAAATATAAAAAAAAATGAACAAAATGACAGAAATGAACGCGTAATAAGTATTCGTACAGTTACAGTTTATCACATCTATGATTCAAATTTTTTGCAAAAACTTATCCGAAATATCGCGTATTGTAAAAAGACTAAGATCTACGATACAAGGAGTCATTGATACATATGAATTATTATTACGGTTAAACTTCAAAACCAATTAATTAAGGCACTTAATTCAGGCGGGATGACTCTTAGACAGTGGGCATCGAACGCCACGCACCCGTTTAGTTGTCCACGCGGCAGGGGAGGTGAACCCCTACGTGGCGCGTCATCCGGGTGGCGGATAGGGGAAGCTGCTGGGATGGAATGCAGGGATGGGGTCATCAGCCTGTGACGGCTGGTGGCTGCATCCTCGCATGGCATCTCGGAGGTCGGAGCATTAAGACTATTAGAGCTGGTAGTTGTAAGTGCAAAACTTATTATGCGATAATTGTTGAAATGCGGCATAGGTTGGGACGAGATCGTGTCCAAAGAATTACAAAGTAATTGGACAAAGTACAAGAATCAATTAGTCTTATTAAACAATTTTTCAATACACCGCGAAACAGTAATAAAAAATTCTGTGGAGATTCAACTAGGTACCATAGAGAGATGACTTCTTGGCTAGGCACTTACATTCTAAACGGAGCAAGGGCAAGGGCAAGGGGACAAGATCTTCGCGCCGCCTTATTCCCACTAGAGAAGCCCGCTCTGACGTCACATTGCATAGTAGTAGGGTCTCCATAACTGCGAGAGATACATTTCTGTTCTATCCATAGGTAGTATTTTGGGCGTACGGTTACGCCAAAGTCCCTCAGTCTTGTCCTATCCTACTCTGTTGCTATACGTTTTGTTCGTGTCCTTTGTCACGCGATGGAATTGTAGTTGTGAGCGACTCAACCAATAATGACAATGCGTGTGAGAGCAGGCGTCGCTATTACGCTACGGCCAATCGACGTGCCTAGCCATCAAGTCATCTCTCTATAGTACATGAATTCTCTAATGCTAGGGAGAAGGCCTACGGTACATGTGTGTATACTGCAGGATAGTACCACTAAAGACAGTCTCCATACCGAGACTGGAATTATGTGCTGCAAAGTTACTTGTGAATCTGTATCAAACATTCTGAACTGCTATTAATTATTCCATCGTGTCAATGAATTTTGGCCCAGTTTCACAATTGTCTTGCATTAGATAAAATTTGAACCGCATACGTTAAAAACATTTGTTGCCAATAGAATTAGAAAAATTCAAGAACATATCAATCAGCAAGATTGGAAACATATTAGTTTTTTTTATTTTTTTTATTTGATGGTTTATTTACGCTGCATCCACTGCGAGGTTATTAGCGGCGTCGGTCGGGTGGGTTTTTCCTTATATTTTGTCAATTAATTTTGCTTCTTTGATGAATCCCAGTAGGTTGTGTAGCTTTCTGTTGGTGAGGTTTTCTTTAAGTTGAGGTTCCAGCTTGTGTTTACGGCGAAGAATGTTGTATTTTTGGCAGTCAAGGATTAGGTGGTCCGTTGTAATTGTTGTGTTGCAGTGTTCGCATATTGGGATGGGTTCCTTTGATAATATGTATGAGTGGGAGATTTTGGAGTGTCCAATTCTTATTCGGGTTATAGCAGTTTGCTCTTTTCTAGTTAAAATAGTTGCTGTGTTTTCTGTAAAAAAGGCGTCCTCTATGTTTTTGATGTGTGGTGGAGCTGTGTTTCTCCACTCAGATTCCCACTGGCATTTTAACTTATTTCTGATATCTTTAATTAAATCTTCTTGGGTGGGAATATTTTGGTAGCTAGTTGGTGAGTTGGCTACTTGTTTTGCTATCTGGTCGGCTTTTTCATTTCCTGGAATGCCTACGTGTCCCGGTATCCATGCAAGTATTATTTTGTGGCCCTTTTCTGTGATTTCATGGTTTGTTTCCTGAATTTGGAGGAGGATGTCATTATCCGATGGTATGCTGCTTAGTGTCTCTAAAGTGCTCATTGAATCAGTAAAAATAATAGTGTGTGTATAAGAGTTTATGTAAGAAATTTTTATAGCATGGTTGATGGCAGTTGCTTCAGCCGTAAAAATTGATGTATATGGTGCTAATTTGGTTGAAAGTGAGGATTCCGGGGTGATTACTGCGTATCCCGTGCCGGTTTCAGTTTTTGATCCGTCAGTATAGATATGGATATAGTTTCTGTAGCGATCTATAGTTTCAGTGGTTAGGTTACGAAATATTACAGGATTGGTGTCAGATTTTTTGTATACTGTTAAGTCTATGTTTACTTCGATGGGGTGCATGACCCATGGTGGTATTCCGGTTTTTCTTTGTGGAATAGTAGGGAAAAATGTTATATTGAGTTCCTCTTCAAGTTTGTGGACTCTATAATAAAAAGGTTTGGGAGTCAGTTTTTTATTATTGTATTTTGTGATGTAGCGGGCTGAAAAGGTATTTTTAAAGGAGGATTTATTTGGGATAGTAGATATTTTTATCGCTTGTATAATGCAGAGGAGTTTTCTTCTGTGTTTGAGCGGAGGTTCGTTTGCTTCTTTTAAAATGCTTAGTATGGGACTAGTTCTAAAGGCTCCAGTTATTATTCTCAGGGCGGTGTTATGTATAGGATCCAGTTTTTTTAGTGTAGATTCCTTTCCTGAGCCATAAATAATAGATCCGTAGTCTAATTTGCTTCTGATGGTAGTTTTGTACGTGTTTAATAGAACCTGTCTGAAATGTCTGCTCCCCATGTATTGGCTGCTAGTGTTTTTAAAATGTTTAGACGGTTGTTACATTCCCTTTTTAGATTGGATATATGGGCATTCCAGGTTAGTTTATCATCAAATGTCATACCTAAAATCTTGATCGAATTAACTTGTTTCAGTTCTGTGCTTCCAAGGTGTAACTTTATTGTAGGTATGTGTTGCTTGGAAAAGGTTATACAGGGTGTCCCAGCTAAAGTGTGACAGTCGCGATACTGCAATAACTATTGATGATACGGAAAAATTGTTTACATGAAAATTGCAGGATAAAATAGGATCTTTATTCTGGCGTAAACGGAAATTTTATTTATGTTATTAATTTCAAAGATACGATGATGAAGTTTCGTTTTTTAAATGGAGCTATATATTTTTTTTTGGATCATGCGATAGTGTTTTTCAAGACGAATTCATTAACATGCAATTTATTTACCCGATTTTCATTAGTTTTCAAGATATAGCGCTTGGAAATTTACTGATTTTCGGCGAAGACGTCTCGGCTTGAGTGGCAAGTCATAAAAGCGGCCCTATTGTTGCGCTGTTTGACTCCGCCTGTTGAAACCGATAGCAAGGGTCTACGCTCGGAACGGCAGGCCCGAAGAGTCAGAAACATGAAAAGTATTGCCCATCACGATTTAAGTTTGTCGCATCGAGGATGGTGATGTCGCTAATAATTTGGCTAATAATTTTCAGAGAAGCGGAAACCGTTTTTTACTGCCCAATTCTGTAGGTTGTCTAGTGCGTTTTGGAGTAGTTGTTCTGTGGTATTTTCATATTTTCCTTTGTATATTATCGTTAAGTCATCCACGAAAAGATATGCTTGGACTGGTAAGTTTGGTACGGAAAGAACAGCATTTATGGATACTAGGAATAGTGTTATACTTATTACCGATCCTTGAGGGACTCCATTTTGCAATATCATAGCGTCGGATAGACAGTTGTTGGTTCTAACTTTATTGCGTCTTGTCTTCAGGAAGTTTTTGATAAACGTAAGGACGTTACCATGAAAGCCCAGCTTTTTTAAGATATCTAATGTCCTCTCTCTGCAAATCATATCATACGCTTTGTCAATGTCCATAGCTATAAGAGTAGTGTGGTGATTATTTACTAAGCCGTCACATATTTGAGCCTCTATGTTAATTAGTTGATCGATGGTTGAGTGGTACTTTCTAAAACCGCTTTGAAGGTGGGATATTGTGTTGTTATTTTCTAATACCCATTGTAGTCTGTGGTTGATCATTTTTTCTAATAGTTTGCACATGTTATTGGTTAGTGCTATGGGTCGATACCTTTCTGGGAGTAGATGGTCCTTACCAGGTTTGACAATCGGGATGATTATAGCCTCATTCCACGATTCTGGGAATATGCCATTTTTCCATATGAGATTGAATATCTCTAATAGGTGTTTGAGTCCATTTGGGGGGAGGTTTACCAGTAGTTTGTTAGGTATTCCGTCAGGACCAGGGCTGGTGTTTTTACATTGTTTCAGTATCCTATTTAATTCTTCAATTTTGAATGCTTCGTTGATTAAAAAAAGGTCCTGGTTTCGAATTTTGGGGGTTTTATTGGTCTCAGGGAATGTTTGTTCAGTTTTATATTTAAGGAAGTTGCTATCGTAGTTTTTATCACTAGAGTTTTTAGCAAATGTTTTAACTAGTAAGTTTGCTATTTCTTTCTGGTCGTTGGTTATGGTTTTTTCTGGCGTAGTTAAAGTAGTGATATTCTTTCTTGAGTGGACGCCTTGAATTGCTTTTATTTTATTCCACATTACCTTGGTGGGGGTAGAGTTATTTATTGTAGATAAGAAATGTTTCTTATTCGTTTTGATGGTCTTCCTTGCACTAGCTCTAAGTTTTTTGCATTGTATAAGATTAGCGATTGTCTTTTGTTTTTTATATCTGTTGAAGGCGTGTTTGTAGTTTTTTATTGCAGTTTCACATTCCTCGTTCCACCAAGGTACAGTGCAGCGCTTTTTTCCGGGTCGAGGTTTTGTTTTTGGGATGGATTGGTCAGCAGCATCGATGATGATCTGGATAAATTCTTTTATTATTTGTTCAATATCATAAGAGTTTGTTGTAGCATTATTATCTAGAGAGGGGGTGTTAAGCTCAATGAATCTACTATATTTGCTCCAGTTGGCCAGTTCAAATTTCCATCTGGGGGCTGGTTGTAGGTAGTTGACTGTTCGATCTAGTTGTACTTTTAATAAAATCGGGTAGTGGTCACTGTCGTACAGGTCTGAGGTGGTAATACATTTGCATTTGTATGCGATGTTGGCGTTGCTTAAGGTTAAGTCTATTATGCTAGAAGAGCCATTAGCTGAATTAAAGTGTGTTGGTTTTTGGTCATTGAGGAGTATTAAGTTATGGTTGAGTAGGATTTTTTCCATAATGTTACCTCTTGAATCAGTTCTTGTTGAGCCCCAGAGTGTATTATGGCTGTTGAAGTCCCCAGTAATGATAAATGGTTTTGGTATGTTGTTAATTAAATTGCTTAATTCGGATTCATTTAGTTGGTAACTGTTTGGTATATATATGTTACAGAGATGTATCTTCGTGGATGAATATATTTTGGTCGAAATTGTTTCCATGTTTGAATTGATTGGGATTTGCTCACTATATAAGGAGTTATTTATCAAAATGGCTACTCCTCCGCTAGCGGTTTCTGCATTCCTGTTGTGGACAAACGTAGTGAAATTCTTAATTCGAATTGTTTGGTTGAGTTTGAGATGAGTTTCTTGAAGGCAGATTACGTCTGGTTGGTATTTCTTCAAGAGAAGTTGTAGATATGGTAGTCGGAGGGAGAATCCGTTTAAGTTCCATTGTAAGATTGTGAGCATTTTAATTTAGTGGTATTTGGTTTTGTGTACGGGTAGGTTTAGTAAGTTAATTAGAGGTTTGTGTTATGTTGGGAATGGTGGATTGATGTGTGTAGCAGTTTCATTTTCAGTTTCGTTATCTGATGTTGCCGGGGTGCAACTAACTGATGAATTTTCTGAGGATGTTAATGGTAGTTCAGCCAGTTTGTATTTGAGTTTTTTTGTTAATCTGTGGATTCTATTTTTTATGCTTCTTTCCTTCAGGTGAGAATAAATTTCTGTTAACATCTCTATTAAACCTGGTATATTTTGTGTGAAGTCTAATGCCATGCTATAGGCGTTTTCAACGCCAAGTGTATTTTCCATGAGAATGATTAATTGATTATAGTTCAGTGGGTAGTTTGATTTGGGATCGTTAATTTTGGCTTTTGCTGGTTCGAGCATATTTTCGATCTTATTGGTCATTTTATCTATTAATTTGATACGTTTGGTACTTTTTTTTCTGCTTGATGGGACTTCCCGAGTGTGTGGGGTAGTTTGCGTTAGTATGTCTTGATTTGATATAGTATCGGTAATGAGGATTTCTTTTAGACTGACTGTGGATAATGTATGTGCTCTTTTGTTACCTGGGTTCGAGATACTGTTTGCTAGTAACGGCTTTGCCTCTTCTGGCTGGGGAGCAGTGGTGGTGGTAGGTATACTTATTGGTTGTGATGTAGATTCTGGATCTGTTTGTGTGTGTAATTGAGAAGGATAGTCGATGTTATCGGCGGTAATATTGTCTTCGTCTTTCTTCGGGCATTGTTTAGCTACGTGACCTGTTTGGTTACAGCGGAAACAGCTGAGTTTGTCGGTTGTGGAGAAGATTCTATATGTTGTATTCTCATATGTTATGGTGAAAGACTCGGGAATCCTGCTTGTGTCCTCAGGATGTACGTATAATTGTCGTCTGAAACTTAGTATATGTGTGTAGCCAGGTTCATGGATACCGGCTCTCAAAAAGGTTATTTTGGATGTGATTCTAATTTTGTTGTGTTTAAAAACTTGTTCAATCGTGTCATGAGGAATCGTTGGCGAGACATTAGAGAGTATTATCCGCTGAGATGGAGTAATTAATCGTTTCACGTTCGCTGTGTTGTTATTTATTGTCATATGGCTGTGATTGCTTACTATCTTGGTGACGGTGTCTTTGGAATCCAGGTGAATACAGACTCTGTTGTTCGAAATTCTTGAAATGAAGCGGATGGAGGCGGGGCTGATAATTTTTCCAAGTGCGTTTGTGTAATCATTAATCGAAGTTCCCTCTATTGAATCTATTGTTAGCGCCTGATCCTTTTTCGGAAAGTTTCCATTGGTTACCGTTGAGGCGTATGTGTTTCGGATTGATTGAAATGGTGCAGTTGAGTTTTCTGGTTCTGTATTCATTTGTGGTTCTTTTGTGATGTCATGACCCCTGTACTCAGAAGTCATTGTTTGTTCTAAAACTTGGTTGCTCATGCGCTGGAAGCGCACAAGTTCACACTGGTTTGAATTTGTCACTTTCTCACTCACTTTCACTCAGGCACTTGCGACAACTCGTAAATACGTCTTGCCTCTATGACGGTTGGCACGAGACTGACATATTAGTTCTTTCGGCAATCCCGCGGATTGTTTATCATGAGTGTAATTATACGAAATTCCTATTATTCAGGCGTGCATCCGGGCCCCACGACCTTGTTCGTGGATTTATGATAGGATTAGCGTGCTTTCCTTCCGTTGACAAAGCTAATGGTCGGAACGATTGCCGAGTTTCCGACCGACTCATTGTTCCAAACGTTCGTTACGATCGACGAAGACCAGAACCTCTAGAACTTAGACATTTGCAGCACACGTGAGCTGCCATCGGTCACTTTTACCATTTTTTCTAGAAGTCATTGTCATCGACACCAAGAACCGCCGGTCGTTTTTTCCGAACGGAAAATTTCTACATCGCACACTTCCTCTTTCATTTTAGAAAATAGACACACCCGCTACCACTGGCAACAACCAATCAACCAAAGTTATATACCACCATTCACAGCATTTTTCACCAATAACAATTCAACCGAGATTATGTAAACCGCAAATACCGTCGAAAAAGACACATTTCCTTCCGAGTCAGAACTAACAGTTCAAAACGCACGTACAACATAAA